CCGTCTTCGTCAATCCGGCAATAAGGAAGTATTGCATCATCAATCAAAAGCAGCAAGAGAATACCGGAATCCGCTGGTACGTAATTGACTGTGCAACTATCTTCCTAGCAAGTAATTGCAAACGTCAGTTTACCCGGAGGTGGAGAAGGGCGTGCCTGGTATAATGAGTCAAATGTAATTATTTCTTTGTCCGGCACAAGACAGGATGACAGTTGCCTTTAATGGAAATATCCCACCAGAAACGAATCCTACGTCATATTTGAATCAAGTTCGCAGCCACACCCTCTACATCCGCGGCATATGAAGAGTACCAGTTACATCATGAGAACGGAGAGGTTGGACTTGGCAATGAGCGATTACGTTCGGCAATGCTCAGTACTTTCGAAGCGCGTCATGCGCTTAGCAGGTGTTCCTCCGACTCTACTCACGTAGCCTCGGAACCGGTAGTTTTCAGCCAATCGCGGACTTCCTGGCGGGCTGTATATACCCCTTATCCCTGAGCCAGAGTAGGCGTGGCATTTGAACATGGCTGGGAATATTCCAGTCTGGGACAACTGTCATCTTGTTCTGTGTTGGACAGAGACACGACAACAATTGTGTCAAGATGAAAATATCTCACCAGAAGCATAGACACCTTCAGGTTAAGTTGAAACATGCGGCCACGCCTACCCGATCTCAGGGATTTCGAGTATATTATACATTGCCGTAATACGGAAACCCTGTTGACAATTCCACCTCAATTAGACCCTTCCCACCGCTTCTTCCTAGTGGCCAATCAAAATGAAACTGCTATCATTTCGCATCGCACAAGGTGGTCGAATCATTGCCGGAGAATTTGCAAAAATGTCCCTCGAGGGAAACAGTGCCCTCATTGCCCTTTTAAAGGAAGCGCCTGCGATCAATTCTGGTACAGGAATCCTTCGTTATGCAAGAAGGCGGATTTTCAGTCACAGTAGAGATGCCACTTTCATGGCTTGTAAGCCCTTGATGAAAGCGACACAGCTCAACAATGATATGCTAACTTCTTTTTACTTCGAGCATTTTTCGTTATCGAAATTCATTAGCGGCGGCGAGGTAGCGGCCACATTTAAAGAACTCGCCGACGTGGGTTGACTCGTCCATTTTCGATCTGATTTGGGGCGGCTTCGACGGTTTCTTTGCGGTTTTTTCATCAGCATTCCACACCTCATATGATTTGATGGTTCTGAACCCCACACCCGCGAGAAGCGATTGCAAGCGTTGTCGTTGACCAGTTTTCTGCTTTTCTCTGCACTCTATGCATGACGTTCTGTGGCCACTGTAGCCTTGCACGCATGTGGTGTATCTCACCCACCCTGAGTCCTCTTCTTCTAAGGAACCTAGCCCTTGGCTCGCCTCTTGGTTTTTGCACCTTTCGATGCTTTGGTACCCCTTGTTCTCTGCGCCCTGCACAGGGTTTCGCAACAGGACCATTCACGAAAGTTCAAGAAGTCCCTTCACTGAAGTGCCTTTGGAGAACTACCCCGAACATCACTGTAATCAACACGAGCAGAGGTGTCATGTGGCAATCGAAGTTAGTCTATTGTAACAAATGTCATCACTAGTCGAACCAAATCTTTTTGCAAATTTTAGATGTCTCGAGAATCGGATCTGCCTTGTCGATGATGACTTACGTTGAAAGAGCATGGTCCGCCCTTTTGCCATCACATGAATTCGATCATGAGCGAATGAAGTTACTCGAGCGTCCTATCGTACTGTGATAGCTCGAATAATGACTGTCCTTATCAGAGATGTGCGGTGAGAGTGAAGATCACTTCTATACTTAAGTACTTTAAACGTGGTTGTTCGACAAATAAATACCTAATACGAATGTGAGTTCGACAGTTTTTCCTCGTTAGCCGATGGAAGTTAGGTTGCAGTCGTAAAGGACCAGAAGCCTGGATGAGCATGCTTCTCTGCAGTTTCTTTGTACATCTTCGAGGAAGGGGGGGGGGGGAGACGGACAAGGCAATCGTAATATGAGTTCCTCGCATGGTTGCGACGCGTCGTGCGGTGGTGCGCGACAAATCCTCAGTGCATATCTTGTTGTCAATTGGAGCAGCGGAAATTATATAAATCCAAAGGAGACAACACCTGTTGTCAAGAGATCAGAAACTTTCCCGTATTTTAGCCTCGTCTGTCTCAACTTCAAAAGGCCAGAGAAGACACTCGTCCGTTAGGCGCGGCGCCGCGTCGCCAGCCCACAAGCTCGGCACATTACGATGGTCTTGTCACATACCCCACTCATCCTCTTTTTTCCTTCGCGGAACCCTGATGCGGATCCTGCTTGTCCAGCGTGTCTGTTTTACACGCCTAGGACTTGAAGAACGTAAAACATACGCCGATACCACGAGCACGACCGCCCTTTCCCGAAGCAAGCTCAACGCGTTGGCCTTACCAGAAGTTGGTTTTCTATGAGCAGGAAGATCACTGTTTCAGCTCAAAAGCTCTGGCAACTTCTTCTGTAGGGAGCGTTGCAAGGTCAAAATCCATGACATCAAACACTGTAATTGCAGCGGGGTTCCTTTTTTCCCTCACGCATAACTAGACACTTATTTGGGTGTTGTTAAAGTCACGCAACCACCAACACCAAGAACTCCAGCCGGCGCGATTACCCTCGCAAGTTCGCTTCTCTCGTCCACTATTTCACAAAAAACAACTTAAGGCCATTAATGCAGACAGTTGATGCTGGCTCGACGAAAATAGAAGCATGGTCCTATGAGTGGGGGAAAATGCCTGAGAAGAGAAGTTACTTGGCTGGAATCCCGAGAACGAAGCGTTTGCTCTGCACGGGATTGGACAAGCATTTTGGACAGGTTTCAGGCATCGTACCAACGCTCGCTTTGATAGATACGGCTGCATATATACCGATGTATTCTCTGCAGCGCTCCGGTCATCAACTGTGCGTTCTTCTTCGTACTGTACATCGCAAATGATGCATGGAGCCTCGCATCGGCGTGTCATTGCAGCTTGATGGGCTGACAGTTACATTCCTTCGGAAAAAAGCGCCACGCCAGCGCCTGCTGAGGGTCCGCCGAGATCTGTCCGCAGCGTTTTTTAATCTACATGTCTTGTAGGACTTATCGAAGCCACTTGCCTTTAGACGTTGGCAACGATGGGTTGTTGATGCTCAGCCTAAAATGCTAGTAGGGCGCTATATAGTGGGGGAAATGTCGAAAGAACGGAGTGAAACAGTCACTCGTAAATCGATTTCGGACGAGTTTCCCATAGGCATCTTACTATCACGTGGCTACCAAAGAGATACGGCTGCATATGTGTACCCATGTATGCATGCAGCATCACGGCCGCTTCATACCAATCCCTTCGCTTCATAATTTGCTTAGCAAATGAATGAATACGAGCGTCAGGAACGGTCGTCCATTTGTGGGCGGGCGGGCGTGGCGGGCGTTTGGGACGTAAAGTTGTGGCTTGATAGGGCCTTAGGGCACCTTCCTCGGGGAAACCGCTATGCAGCGCCTGCCCAGGGTCGCGGAATTCTATCCTGCCAGGAGTATTGATCCTAGTCGTCTTGGGGGATTTATCGTGCCAACTGCCTTTAAGTATTAGCACATGATAGTGGTAGCCAAGCAATATCTATAAACAGATTCATCAAAATACTTCCCTGTTCTGAGCTATATGAAAGAGGGCATTTGAAATGGTACAGGTCGTCAGCAGTTAGCAAAATACTAAGTATCGAATAAAGAACATGTTGTAGCATAAAGGTCTGACATAACTTAACGGGCTCCCTCTGTAGAGGGAGCCCGTTTCTTGCGAGTGGGTCTTCACTTCGCCTCGACCGGTTACAGACGGGGATTCCACTTCTCTTCCTCTCTATACTCAAGAATAGGAGGATTAAGTTTATTAGTGAAGCTGATGTAGAGGTCTGTCTGGTGTAGCGTCGTGGGAAGGTGATGGGCTCAAAGCTGACCGTAAGCGAACATGCAGTCAGGTGG